AGAGCCAATGTGCCCAGTTGGTATGAACAAACTCTGGAGTGGATACAGCCTACTGTATTTTGAAGGACAAGAGAAAGCACACAACCAGGATCTAGGTATGTATAGATATTGCTGGCAGCAGCCTCAATTCCAAAACTGGGACTTCAGCAAACAGGCTTAGGAAACATCAAAATGAGAAGATAAAAACTTCATGGCTTCATAGGGTGCCCCTGGGATAGCTTCTGGAAGTCATTAGTGTTGTTCCAGGGAACCTGTAAAGCCAGCGAAACATTCTGGACCACAGGGTTTTACTGGCAGGTGCTTGGGAAAGAGCAGAAAACTGAAAATGTGTATTGTCCTCTGTGAGAATGATTGGTCTTTTTTCTTCTTTTTTTTTTTAACAGGGCTGGCTGGCTCATGTTTGTCTCGTTTTAGTACTATGCCATTCCTCTACTGTAACCCTGGGGATATTTGTTATTATGCAAGTCGAAATGATAAATCCTACTGGCTCTCAACTACAGCACCTCTTCCAATGATGCCTGTGGCAGAAGATGAGATTAAGCCATATATCAGTCGCTGCTCAGTTTGTGAGGCCCCAGCTGTGGCAATCGCTGTCCATAGCCAAGAAGCTTCTATTCCTCACTGTCCTGAGGGCTGGCGCAGTTTGTGGATCGGATATTCCTTCCTTATGGTATTTGGTCTCCAGTGTCACATTTTGTGTGGCACTGGGTTTTATATTTGAGTCTGAGATACTAGGAAGGCTGCTCCACTTTAAAGCCAGCAAGATCAAAACCATGCATCATACTGGGGAACCAGGGAACTACAAAACTAGTTTCCACGAACCAAAGAGGAAAAACAAAATTTCTGTGGATTTCAGAGAAAATGGTCACTTCTCAGCATAGTATATGGAGACCTTACTTTTTGTACAACATAGAGCTTCAGAGCAGAATAAAGCTGTGAATTAACAAATTAAATTGCACTGAGGTGCAACAATAACCTACAAAGCATTTTCACAGCTAAAGCATTACTTATGTGTATCACTGTTAAGGATTTGATCTAGAAAATAAAAAAAACAACTTTTCCCCTTCTTTCTGAAACTTAAAAATCATAGGTGTTTGGTTGAAGATTTACAAGTCAAAGTCTTTCACTGAGTCTGGAAAGAGAGACAGTCTCTGGTTGTTTTTAAAATCAAGCTTCCATGTTGTATCTGTAATGGTAATAAGAGCTTGGCTTATAGGATCTCTGAGATCTTGTTATCTAGTAATTCAGAAGTGGGATGTTACAGAAAAACTTAGTGCTAGGTGTGCAGCAGATGACCTACTGAAGGGCCTGACCTGCATTTCTTGCAAGACCGTACAGAGGGATCATGTGAGCACTGGAGGGTTTAACACTGGCTCTGGTAAAGAGCAGCTAGAATGTCAGTGAACGATCTAACAGACGCTCATTTTTCTGATTTGCTTGATGTACACAAGAGTCAAAACCTGCAACAGTGTGCCCACGTTGTCAACTCATTGAAGACTGTGCTGAATTCTGAAGTAGACAGTGTTGGGAGAAAAATAAGATTTCTGTGGCAGAAGACAGCATAAAAGAACAACAGTCAATCTTACCCACAAACCATTTGTATGTCCAAAGCCAAAAACTTAAATTTTTCAGAAAATAAGGTAAAAGGGAAATCTGAAATTAGTTACAGAAAATATACCCCCCAGTTTTGGAGAGCAGGTCAAATTTTTGATCAGCCCTATGTTTGACCTTTCTTTTGCTTCTATAAAAAGCCCTGATACCAATCTCATAGTTACTTCACAAGAATTCCAAGGATTAATTAAATGTTTGCAAAACCTTGTGTAAACACTGAGCATTTTTAAGAGCAAAGTTGTCACTTTAGCAATAAGTTTTTGCCAGGACAAAGTCTGTCAGCACTATCACAGTGAGAAGAATTCACATTTTCCCAGCTGGTTTTTGGAGCAAATGAAGTGTTTGGTGTACGCATTTTTGCCTCTCAGGCAACTGTGAAAGAAGTACAGCACACTTGTGGTTATCTCAGAGTACATATTGTTTTAATTCCTTGGCTTAAATGTGTCACCTCATTTCCCTGAGTAAGGTACAATATCAGTCAGCATGGATTCCTGCCCGTGCTAGGTGGGGGCCTTTGGGGAGGAGGGAGTTGTTGCTTTGTGGGTTTTTTTTAAAAACCACAACCATCTAAACCTGAGCACCATGTGACACCAGCCAGAGATCAGTCCTTTATTCAGCTAAACGGTGGCCATTTCTGTTATTTGTCTAACACAGTGGACCTCTTGCCATATAAACCAAGGCAGTTGCAGCTTGCACTTTCATAGTATGGTGTTTATTAAAACATAGGCAGGCAAATCTATTGGATGTGCCCAGATTTCTCCCAACATTTACAAAACTATTTAAGAACTCTATTTTCCAGCTTCTTTCTTTTATATTGTAGATTGTTTCAGTTTCTAACAGAAAATTCAATGGTATCACTTAAAAATACAACTGTACAGCTCTTAAAGGGACAGAGAAAATGCCCATTTTGTTAGCAATGTCTTTGACAGAAGAAAAGTAACATTCAGTTCATTATCACAGTATCTGTCAAAGGTAACAGTTGAGTGGTGTAAAGATGCACAATTTTGGTGTAATTTGCTGTCAAAAAACATGTCATAGAGGGAACTAGTTATCTGCATAGAAGATAATTTTGTTTCCACGGTGCCCCTCATGTGCAATGCAGAGTAAGACAGGTTTTATAACTTGGGGAATTCAAGTTAGATATATGGTGGAAAGTTCTTCTTAGTGAGGCTAATAAAACAGAGGAACAAGTTGCCCAGAGAAGCTGTGGGAAGTCCATCCTTGGAGGTATTAACAACTGAACAGCATCCTGGAGCGACTGAGGGCAACTTCGGTGTAGACCCTGCTTTGAGGAGGGGACTGGCTGAAGTGACCTCCAGTGGGCCCTTCCCAATGATTCTCCAATTTTAAGACTTCCAGCAGTGAAAATTTTAACTATAGAAAAGAAGATTTTAAAGTGGCATCAGCATATGAGCTAGCTCCTTTATATAGTTGTAGCATAGCCAAACCCTTACAAAACTGCAGGATTGGCTGACTTTCTGCTCTGGAGATAAGAATTAGAAGAAATTCTAGTGGTTTTTCTCTTTTCACACATGTAAATTTATGACAGCATTGCCTGAGGTTGCACTCTGAATGCTGCCCTCCTTGTCTCCTTTAGCACACTGCTGCTGGTGATGAAGGTGGAGGACAGTCGCTGGTTTCTCCTGGGAGCTGCCTGGAAGATTTCAGAGCAACTCCTTTCATCGAATGCAACGGCGCCCGCGGAACCTGTCACTACTTTGCAAACAAATACAGCTTCTGGCTCACTACGATCGACCGACCCTTCCAAAGCAAGCCCTCAGCAGACACACTCAAGGCAGGACTCATCCGAAGCCATATCAGCAGATGTCAAGTCTGTATGAAAAACTTATAGAAGACTTTCACAGTATAAGGAACCACCTTATCATGTCGTTCTTATACAGTGGAGCCTTCTGTGATGGTTAGACAACTAAATAGATCATGTTGGTGCTTTTTTTAACTTATTACCTCAACAGCTGAATGGAAACAAATATTTTTAATTGTCTGTAAAAGCAGATTAAGTCTAACACACAGATCTAGCGCTGTGTTCTCCTACTATGCAGTATATATACACACTTTTTGCTAGTCTAACATTACATCATTTGCCAACTGATAGAAATATTCGCAGCTTTGAAACACCAAAAAAACTTCAATAATAAATGGTTACCTTGGACCACCACATTTACTTTAACAGAATATATGTATCTTTCTATTTACTGCATTTGTCACAGCAGTGAAAACTAACAGCTGCAGTTCCATAAATTAACACAGGGTGATCAAAGTACTAAACCCTTGCAAAATAATGAAAATATACTGTGATCCAAAATGCTTATGTCCAGCATTGAAACCTAACTTTAATTTTAGTATTTTATGCTTGGGCATTTCAAACACACACAAAACATCTTTTTGGTTTCTTTCAAGCCTCACTATGCTTTAGCACTTAACCATTGCCAATAGCAGAGAAGCCCACAGGCATCCCAGAAACAGTAACCACAAAATGCAACTCTTCCTATTTGGTTAGGAGTCTCTAGGACAAAGATCAGCATTTTATTTTATATGCTTGATGATTTTTTTTTAGACATACCCCAGGCCAAAGGGTACTGTGGACATTTCATCTGTGTCACACCACCCACACAGCAACAGCACCAATTGGTTTTTTCATTGCAGCTTTTCCCCTCTGAAACCAAGCCACTCATCACAAACAGATTTTAGCCACTTGCTGTTGGAGCAGCTATTGTACATAGGGTGGGCTCTGCAGGAGAGTGCATTGCTCAGTGCCACATGACCTTCAAACACAGAACTTGCAGACCTGCCAGCTGGCTGTCTGTAGGCATGCTGTCCTGGCAGCTGGGGACATGTGGCAGTGGGATGACCACCATCCCAACTTGCACACAGCCATCCTTGCAAAACCAAAAAGGAAGGAAACAAGGCATTTATTTGGCACCATCATTTCCCATAGTAAAGGCTTGATAAATGACAGAACGGCTAGCTCTTTCCTTCTGTGGAAAGAAGCAATTTAGCCCAAAGTTGTCTGTCACCACTGCAAGAGAATGGGAAAAAAAGGATCAGCTGAAAAATTCTTATTTGCATAATCTGATTACATACCTGAATGTTTAATTTGAAGTGGAAGAAGAGACTTTTATAGCAATGACAGTTGATTTTTAATAGCTCACCTCGCTCCTGCTTCAGGTGCTTCTTGGCTTTTATAATTACATTCCATCCTCACTGTATCATAAATAAAACCTGGGTTTTTTCTACACCTTTATTTGTTGATGATTTCTATTTTGCTAGCTGTGATTTTCCATATGGGCTGCTCTGTTGAATTACTTTGTTTGCACCTAAGGAGTTAGAAAAGCACTCCCAGAAAGCTCCTCCCACTGAAACTCAAACTCTTCAACCAGGAATACACCTGTTTATTTCATGGCACTTAAAAAGATCCAGTAGGGAAGATTTGTGTCTAAAATTGCTTGTTTAAGCTGAATAACTGAAATAATATTTCATGTGTTCTTAAAACAATTTAAGCCAATAAATTGTGACGTTGCAGAGTAAAACAACCTATTATTCATGCTCTACAATGTTCAAGAAACCAATATTTACCAAACTTGACATGTTACCTCCACAAAAAATATAAAGTATAAATTAAGTTAAAGTTCCTAAAATCACAGAATCATAGGATGGTTTGGGTTGGAAGGGACCATAAAGATCAATTAGTTCCAACACCGCTGCCGTGGACAGAGACACCTTCCACTAGACCAGGTTGCTCAGAGCCCCATCCAACCTAGTGCTAAATACATGTTGGGAGCATCCACAACTTCTCAGGCCAACGTATTCCAGTGCCTCATCACCTTCATAGCAAAGAATTTTTTGCCTACTATCTAATCTAGACCTACTCTTTTTTACTTAGAAGACATTCCCCCTTGTTCTGTATCTACATGCCTTTGTAAAATATCTCTATCCAGGTTTCTTATAGGCTCCATTCTGGTACTTAGCTAACCTAAACTGTCTAACCTAAACATATAATTAGATACGTCTATAAACAGAGAGATTACCTGAGCTTGAAATGAGTTCTCTGGCCATATTGTCTCTCTGAAAGGCAGCCCCTAAACAAACTTATGACACTGTTACTTGTTTAAGCTAAATAAAACATTTAGAACTGAAAATATTGCAGTCAACATAAGCTAAATCTATTCCACATTTGCCAATTCTTTTAAATTACACATGGCAGTAACAAATACCCAAGAATAGGCAACTTCCAGGTTGTTGCTAGGCATCAGTGGTTGTGGGATGATCACACAACTATCACTTGTGGGTTGTACAGCATGCAACTCTGGCAGTGCAGCACATTCAGTGTTTTAAGAGAATTCAAGTAGAAGCTGTACAAATCTATAAAAACCAATTATGTCAACAGTAAACTATTTGGATTTTCATAGCTAATATGTTTGGTAATCTTCCTATGAAGCTAACTTTTTTGTACTTGAAACTTCAGCAGGTAGGTCTTCCACCAACAGTTGCTTCACCTCTCCATTTTCTCTGGCTCATGTAGGCTGTTCTTAATTTTGATCAGAGCGGTACCAGCACAGCACTGAGTTGAACACATCATCATGGTGCGGGAAAAACCAAACCAACCACAAAACCCCCCAAGGTGCCAAGCAGGCTTGAACTTCTGTACTTTGTGTACATCATGTGCTTCAGGTCTGGGTACTCACATCTGTGTTTCTCCAAAGCCTGCGCAATCACTTCTTTGAGAAGAGGAGGGAGCTTGTGCACACAAACACGTGGAATACTTGCAACAGACGGAGCATTTCACTTTGTGAGCTAATCTGGGGCACTGCATGGAGGGGAACTGACTCGAACTACCTCTTAGCTGCAAGTTTACTTCCTCTCTTATGAAGACAGTCTGAGAGAACTGGGGTTGTTTAGCTGAAGGACAGAAGGCTTCAGGGAGACCTTATATCAGCCTTCCAGTGCCTAAAGGGGGCTTATAAGCAATGTAGAGAGTGACCTTTTACCAAGACCTGTAAGAACAAGCCAAGGGCCAGCAGTTTCTAACTGAAAGAGGGTTGATTTAGATTAGACAGAAGGAGGGCATTTGTTACTGTGAGGGTGGTGAGACACTGGAACAGGTTGCCCAGAGAAGCTGTGTATGCCCCATCCCTGGAAGTGTTCAAGGCCAGGCTGGATGGGGTTCTGAGCAATCTGGTCTATTGGAAGTGGGCCAGTGGGTTGGAAGGAAATGATCTTTAAATTCCCCTCCAAACCATTGCACAATTCTGTGATTCTAGAACTCACTTTCAGGAGGTTAAAACATTCTTACAGAGGAAAAACTCAGATACAGCAAAACTAAACAGTCTTTTTACTGAACTACAGTGCTCCAGCCTAGGATGTATAAAATACAAGTGTTTTGCCTCCGTTTGAGCAAATCTTTTGCTTCAAAGTGTCCTGTTTGCTTCCTACACTTTCCTGTTTGAAAACATGCTGAATGTGCTCCTGATCCTGGAGAAGGTAAATGAGATTATATTCAGCTTCTGTAGGTAATAGTGCATCAGTATATCAATACAGATATAGTGAAGTCAGCATAGTGATGTGAGTTGACACCAATTATTTCCTCAGAGTGTATCAACCAAATCAGCCATATTTGTTCACACTGTACATGATTGGGGTTGTCCATGGCTGCCAGAAATAGAAAATTAGCAAACAGCAAGCAGTAAACACGACCTTGACATGGAAGGTGTCAGATTGCTGCCAGGGGAGAAGCTGAGGGGTCACTGCCAATGTGCCAACAGCACCCCAGTGCAGGCAGAATCTGCCCCTGTAACTGCATGAGGACCAGCAGCCCCCCAGAGGTGGCCACCTGCCCCCACTGATGGTGAGTGGGGGTCTGGTCCCGCAGCTATTCAGCGCACAATGGTGCAAGACATACTGGACAAGGGGAAGAAGTAACATCACTGCTCCCTATGACCAGCGAGCAGAGAAGCAAAACCAGGCAGGGGTGCTTTCCCACTGTGATGTGGGCAAGAAGGTGACTAAGCCAAAGCAGGCAGCTCAGCAGCTCTGCCAGTCCTGTGGGCACTGAGGAACTTCTGGCTCCTTTTGTGGCCCCCACAAGACTTGAAGCCTTGTTGGGGTTGTCAAGGGCCAACAACAACCTCAGTCTTGTACCATCAGTGCCTGTGAGGGGCAGGAAGCAGAATGGATACATCCCAACCAGCCTGGCACAGATCCTCACTCGTTCACCCTACCATCCCTCCCTCCCCCATGGGTCTCAGCCTGGCTCAGCCATCACCTCAGGCACAGGCAGGCCTGTAGCTTACATTCACTCAGCACTGCCAAAAATAACATTTCCTATCCAATCACCAGACATAACAGGGAGAGAGAGGGGGGAAAAAATCAACATTTGTAAAATGAGTTTCCCCTCCAAGGCAGGATAAGCAGAGTCCCTGGTCCATGCCTTCACCCACCTTCCCTTCTCCTGGCAGGGATGGTTTCCCTTGGCTTCAGCAGCACCACCACATGCCCAGCTCCAGGCCATGCAGCAAGGTTATTAATGGGGAAAGCGACCTCACAGTGATGGAGAAAAATGTGCTGCAGCCAGTGGGGTGCAGAAGTGCTGGCATTGAACCAGTGAGTGCATGGCACAGCCGCTCTCAGTGCTGGCCCAGCACAACTAGTGGCCCAGCCCACAGCTGCTGTGCTACATGAGCTGCTAGGCTGTGTGGCTGTTAAGGCAACAAGAGTTAGAACAAGCATGCTTCTGCACAGTTCCTGTGCTGCCAGTCCCTACACTGCAGCTCACTGCTCTTCCCATCAGTAGGTGGAGATTAATTATTTCAGTAAAATTATGTAGGATGGAAGGTGAGGGAAGAGGAGCAAAAAGATGTTTTTAGCAGTGCTGGGATATCAGGATCTATCTGCAGAAGCAACATGGAAATTAATGAATTCATGTTAGGATACAGGCCATATTGCATTACTTCTCTGTGCTCTTAAAACAAAAAACAAAACAAACCCAAAACAAACAAAGAACAAAACCGCAAAAAAAAACCTCAGCACCACTAAACAGAAAAAAAACATTCTGTGTAATTTCAGTGTTGAGGGTTGAACTGTGCTCTCTAATAATGCTTGCAGACATGCATAGGCACCACTGCAGCAGATAGAGCATCAACACTGGGCTGTAAAAACAGAGCTCAGCTATATCAGTTTAAATTATTAGTAAATTTAAAAATACCCAAACAACCTACATCAAATTCCAGAATCTTTCAAGTTTTTCTTGAAGGCAGAATCTGATTCAGAAAGTGATAAAGAAACAGGGCTAGCATGCACACTAAGCAATCCAGATCTCCTCCTGACCTCTCATCAATAGCTCCCATGTCTTATGCAATTTCCCAAGTGTAACTGTGCAACCCCATGATCTCACAGGTTGGTAGAGTGACAACCCATCATAACCCAGACATTTCTTGAGAACAATAGCCAACAACACTAAAAAGCCACAACATCATGCCAGAGAAGTGTAGCTCTAAGGGCAAAAGCACAGCACACAAGACTGGTTCCTGTATCATCTCTTTTGGTAAAAACACCCAAGTTGGAGCTTTTAGAAATACTGTAAGAATTCCTTAAGATCTGATATGAATACAGCATCTCTCAAAAAGCCTGACCTTGTAATCAGTACGTGCTGCAGGTTCAGACATCAACAGATGCAGCAAAGCCAGTGCTGGATCTCCCACAGGCGTGTCAGTAGATCATTTTGGTCACAAACAAGATTGAGGTTGTGGCCTGCTTGCCTTTTTCCTGTCCTGAGGGAAGACTAGATATTGCACCTAGAATTTTGTTAATAGCTAAAAGGTTTCTAATTGTACACATTTTTATATGCCACAGCTCAGATGCTGTCCAGTCTCTGACAGACTGGTAGGTGTTAAACTGCAAACCCAAAAGATGACATCCTTTAGCAGTGCTTGCAGCAATAGGGAAAGGGACAATGATTTTAAACCATGAGAGTGTAGATGCAGACTAGATATAAGGAAGACTTCTTTTTTTGCAGTGATGGTGGTAAAACACTGGAACAGGATGTCCAGAGAGGTAGCAGATGCCCCACCTCTGGAAACATTCAAGTTTAGATTGGACAGAGCTCTGAGCAACCTGATTGAGTTGAAGACATCCCTGCACAATGCATGGAGGATTGGACTAGATGTTTTAAGGTCCCTTCCAACCCAAACTATTCTATGATTCTATTATTTAATGTTCAGTGGTTTTTCTCTCGAGCTTATCTTCCCCACTACATGTGTACTGTGAATTAACTTGAGAACAGAAAATAAAGCTACTACTCTGCCTTAATTTGCTCAAGAGGATGTACTTTTGGAAAAAAAAAATGCCTTAAATATACTTAGTAATAATTTAACTCGTTATTCATTTAGGAATTGTCTCCCCATGCACTAACTGTGATTTGGGTGGGACAGAGAAAGGCAATGACAAAGCACAAGAAAACTAAACCTTAAGTTTTAGAAAATTACACCAGAAGCATCCAAAGGAAGATGAAGGAATCCCCACACAAGAAACTGAAGAACTGAAAATACGCAAGCTGCATCTTTGGGGCTTCTTGTTTGGGACGAGTAGAGGGGTTTTTTTGAGGGGGGGGGGCTGTGCTTAAAGACTAGAGGTTCTTCACTCTGGTCATAGCTCCTGGGTCACTGCACACATTCTTTGTAGTCAAGAGCCGTAGGAGCTGTATTAAGGCCCTCCTTTTTACTGCAGTCAGGAGAGAAACCGTGTACCTCATTATTGCTCCTTCATGCGCCTTTTACTCCACAAAAGACAGTTTGTCTTCCCTGCATTAGTCAGTTTCACATCAGAACACACCCATCTTCACTTCCCTCCAGGTAGAGGTAATTACTACTCCAGGTAGTAACATCATGCATAGCTGATAAAAATCAAAGCTGCAGCTCTGCAGCTTTAAGAAGGAGTGGGAAGGGAGACAGAACACAGATACTCAATGCAGTGGTATCCCTACAGGCAGTAGAAAAAGGTCTTTACAAAAATGCAGACAAAATAGACTGCTTTCTTCCCCAAAAAACACTTTGCTATCTACATTAAAAAGAAATACAAGACAAAAATGAACCAAAAAAACTTCCTCCTGCAAATCGCAATTAGAGCAGCAAGAGCTGTGATGCTGCTTGTTAATACATGGAAGGCCACTATGGAAGGAGAATTGCCATTAATAAAGTCTCCAAATGAATAGTACAGATCCACAGTGATTTTAATAGTTCAGTTTCTGAATTGTACACTGTCATGTCTGACATAAAAAGATTGTAATTGACTTATTAGCTACAAATATAAATTATACCGGGATTTTCTTTTTTTTAATCTTAAGAATAAAAAAGTATCACGTGTTCAATCTTCCAAAGTTAGAATCATAAGGGGAAAAATGATAATTATATGAAAGTTGTCAAGAGTACACAAACAGATCATTTATATGCAACACGAAATGACAAGTCACTAAAAGTCAGACTCCTTCAAAACTGTCCAAATGATTGTCACTACCAATTGTACTAACACAGCATTTGTCTTCAGAGCCCATTGAAACTGGCAAGTCTTACTCCATAATCTCACTTGCATTCCCATTTTTATACACAGAGCTTCCCAGAAGCTTTTAATGGTCAGAAGATTTTTTTGTTGGGTTGGTTTTGGTTTTTTTTTTTTGCGTACACCATTTTAATCTATTTATTTATGCTTTGACTTTTCCTTTCTGGTGAGCTGCAAGCACTTCTTACTCCTCATTTTGCTGGAGCGAGCAATCCCTCCCCTTTTCTTACGTCACGTAAACGGGTCAGGCACAACAACCTGATTTTGTCCTTTTTGCTGGCTTGTAGTCTGTGATGTCTACAGTTTGCGGTGGCCCCTCAGCTTTCTGCCGTGCAATTATTGGGACTACCATCTCAAACACAGTTTCAAAGAGGTAGTCCACCTTGTATCCTGTTTTTGCACTGGTCTCAAAACACATTTTCTCAGCTGCCGGAACATCCTTCTCATCTAGCATTTTGTACTTCAGTATCTTTTTGTAGAGCGCAATCGCATCCTCTGCACGGACTTGTTTTCGCACCTTCGAGCCACAGCTGGCAACAGACTTCTCAGGTCTATTTTCATCCGGTGGTAAAGTACAGTCATCACTGAGGTCAACTTTATTTCCAACAATAGCAAAAATGCAGTCAGCACTTGCACTGTCTGTCAGTGCCAAGAATCTTTCTTCCAGCTCTGTCAGGCTTTGGAAGCTGTTCACATCGTACGTGAGGATCACAGCAGCTGCTCCTCTGCAGTACATAGACCCAAGGCCATGGAACTGCTCCCGTCCTGGCAAAGGTTTAAACACAACAAAAAGTTAGTGTGCTGGAAGCCACATTATTAACCAAGTAAAAGAGTTTAAGGAATTTTAAGCCAATTTCAAAAGCCTGTGTGAAGCAGTGAAGGTAAAAATGTGTTATTTGTAGCATTTTCAGGTTTTTCCTTCTGCTTTTCCTTAAGAGAGGAGCAGTGCCACAGAATAACTCTGCACACCACTTGCTCAATCTCAGAGCAGGGACTCTGAAAAGACAAGTGAGCAAGCAAGCTCACACAGGATTCACAGTAGGTGAAAAAGAACTGGGTTTTTTCATTAAATTGCATACTAGCTGACTTATGTCATATTAACTGCTACCCTGCTTGGGCTCACAGATGGCCCATCCACCTATTTAACCATTTATAAACAGAAGTGTACTGCTTTAAATTCTCCTAGAATTTATTACTCCTATAAATTCAGTACACATTTTCAAGTACATCCCGTTCAGAAATCTGGATCAAAATCAGTAACCAACTTCTTCCTAGGTTTTGAGGGATTTTGTAAGCTATTTAATCAGACTAAACTGTAACTGCTACATGCCCACAGTTCTCAGGTACATTGGCTTTACAGGAAAAGACTCTTGTTAGGGTATAGAGCCAGTATTGATATGCATCTGTCCCACCACAAGTATTCACGCTTTTTTATGGTATTAAACACACATAACATAGAAAATCCTAAATACATTCTACGAGCAATTTGTCTTTTAAGTTGCCCTGGCCATCGCTCAATAACCAACAGCTAAAACATTTCTTCCTCATCATTCAGCAAGTATCTTCCAGCACCTCTGATGAAGCCTTGATGGTATACTTCAAGTTCATTTCTTGGAAGACAAAATTGACTCTTCTTTAAATTCTGGGAAGCAAAAATGTTCTTTAGTATTTGTAATAGGACTAAGGGAAATGAGGCAGAAGACACACTGTGTTACCACTGAGAACTGCTACTTTCCCCCAATATCTGCTCCATGTAGAATATGCTGTAGTTCACTTTACACCCCAAAACCCAATCAAGAAACAGATAAAACACACCAGAGATTTCAACCAGTCATCAGCATCAGCCTTAGGTCACTAGAGAAGTGTGAATGAAGAAAGAAAAAAAAAAAAGAGAGAAAAAAAAGTGGCAACTACACTCTCTCATCATACAATCTCTTTGCACAGAACCTCAGTTTATAGAAAATCTGGAAGACACCTTCTTACATTCGTCTTCTGCACAAAGCTACTGACCACCATGAGTTACAATATCATGCAATCCTTGTAAATGACTGTGGAAAAGGAAAGGGAGAAGAAATTCATGCTGAAAAACATGGGTCAGCACATATTGAAAAAACACATCTGCCCATGAACATGCACACTGCAAAAGGAACTCAGAATCTACTTTAGTTGGGAACATAATCATCACTGCAATAAATCCTTCAGCAAATGTCAGGACTCTACTCCACAGGTGCCAAAAGAGAGACAAAATGTTCATCATTATTCATAAAACAAAACTGGAAAATGTCAAGATAGAACATGAAATCCAAAGCTCAGTTCACCTTTAACACTCAGTGAAACTCTGGTAACAGCCAGAGAAATAGATTTGGAAAGGTGTAGAATTCACTATAAAGAGATGTAAAAGGAAGGTGGTGAGAATGCATAGAATTATGTGAAACATTTGCGTGAGGAAAAATTTTGGGATCTCTCAGGCTAGTGAATGATTGAAAAAAAGGGTAGAAACAGATGTCTATAAATTCAGGCCTAATACTGAGAAAGTAACCGAAGAACAACTATTTACTCTGCCTCATCACGCGGAAAATGAGAATTTCACATCAAAATCGTGCATGTAATTTAAATACTTTCCTGCAAAGCAAATAATTGGTGGTAGGTGTTATATGACATTGCAGAGGTCAAAAGTTCAATTAATGGCATTCAGAAAACCATTAGGCAAAGTTAGCGGAGAACTGCATCTGTGCAACTTTGTGTAACTTCTGATTTGCTTTCCCCCAGCAAAAGAAATTCTTTAATGATCTGGTAGGTAGGAAAAAAGGAGGTAGTAAAAAAATAAACCAAACCAATAATCATGCCTTTGTTTAGGTACGTTGGGTAAGGGCAAGGGAGATTGGGATACAGGGGAGGGAGAAGGTCAGTGCTTTTGCAATTTTTCCTCCAATCTCATGTTTAAAGTTCTACTGCAACTGAGTCTTTAAATGTCTCCAATTTTTCAGTAAAAGTTTGTGCCATGACTGATTTTTTTTTCATCTGAACCCTGATTATACTGCAGTCTGGAAATCACAATGGAACATATATCCTCCCCTGTTCTCCCACTTTAGATGTCTAAACCATAATATCCAGCCCCCGGAATCATTTGCTACAACAAGCGAGTACTAGAACAATTCTATTATTTGTTTTATGGAATTCATATGCTAATCTAATCTTGTACAGCAAGATTAAACTATGACACTTTTACATGCTAACTACCAACTGATTACTTCTACAACTCATATATTGTTTAAAAGGGGAAAGAAACAGAAAGAATTTATTTTGCATAAGGGGTTAATTATGCCAGAGGAATAATGGATAGTGTCCCTCACTCACCCTCACAGAACAATCTACATGCAGAAAAAACTGCATAATGCAATTTTTCAGCAGTTTGCTTGCACAGACTACTTCTGACGCTTAAGGACTGGAAAAAAAACCCAAACTACACTAAGTATTTAAACATATCTGTCCTCAAGGTGTCAGGCAAAACAGCATCAGACATTAGGTTGACAAACCTACCACATGAGAACAGCTATCGCCTTCTTAAAGCCAGTTTTCTTTCCCTGGACACATCTGGTCCCACTTCAACCACATTCCATTTTACATAAGTAGCTAAATTAAATGGTAAGCCCTGAGTCCAACAATCAAACAATTTCACCCTTCAAAAAAAAATTAAGGTAACAGTAAGAGTGGCAGAACTATGAAATAATTTGCAGTCAAAGGAGTTGCAAGAACCACCAAATCAACCACAAAGGCACAACATCAGGACATCAGGGAAATTTTTTAAAGCAAATCAACCAAAAACTAATTTCCAGTTTTCTTTTCATCCTTATATTTTGCCTTATTTACAGCAGTTTGACAACCCTACAGCTGTAGCCCTATCTGCAGCACCATTAGCTTTTCAGAGGCTCTTCCATCAAGTATATGAAGTCTTATGTAGTATGAAGTATATGAAGTATATGAAGTTGGAGACTCCATCCACTCAGGAGCAGTGCAGCCTCCAAGCATTTTCAAAGTCTTATGATGGTTATCATAAACAAATCAAAGAATTTTGAGCCAAATGGACCTCAGTACAAAGTTCATAAGAAACCCAAGGGAGAAAGAAGGGAAAAGTAGAGTTGCTAGAGGCCTGCCTAATAAATAAGCAAGGCTAGATTTAAAATGTGCTGAGACTTGAACTTGAAGCCTAGGCTTTGGTCTAGCCAGGCTCCTTCCTATAGCACCCTGACACCTCAGCTGGAAGTCAGAAGCCCCTGTGAATGCTTTCTTTGGATGGCACCACAGCCTGACCAAGCATTCCCATCCCTTCCCAGCTGTGGGATCCACTCACATCAGCCGTGCCTCAGTCTTCCTCATGGATTGGAGCTCTCCTCCTGCCCAGCCACCCCTGAGGGTGGTATGCAAAGTAGCCTGAGAAGTTGTGTGGATATTTACAAGAGCAAATGATTTCCTCCAGGCAGATTTGAATGCTCCTTACCTACTACCCCTTCAAAAGCTTTCACCACAACTTCTGAAGTGGCACAACTTCCCACACATGCACTCTTTCAAGAAAACTTCTACCAGAAGAACAAGTTTTAAATCTCTCAGTGTTGAGCACATACAAGAATGCAGAACAGGCAGTTTTAGTTTTGAGGAATAAAACACAACAAATACTAAAGAGCTAAAAAGGTCTTCCATAAAGTACTGAAAAAAGTAATGTTGCTACACTGATATCAGTCTGAGTGGCACCCCAAATTCTGAGTTCATAAAGCAAATAGGTAGCAGGGAAAAGTACACAGAGATGGGCTACAGAGACACATTAACATTGCATTAAAATTGAACAAGAGTGCAAAATTATCCAGGAAGTTCTCAGTTCATAAATCAGGTATCTTCCAACAATTTTCACTGTGATTTTAACAGTATTGTAATCTGAACAGTAGAGAGGAATTAACACAAACACAAGGTACCAGCTAGGTTTTGCCTTTCAAATTCTTTCTCCTTTATAAAAGAGTCTGAACTTGAGCGTACATGGAGAGGGACAGGAACTGTGCCCTAGGGAGTTAGCTAGAAGACGAAAGAAAAGAGAAAGTATGACACCCATGACACAGCACAGAAATCAGTACTAAAAAGAAATGAGCTTTGAGGATTCAGCTGCAGTAGATGAAGGTTCAAGGGGTGACCCTTATGCTCTTGAGTTACCTCAGCAGGAACATCCGCGTGATCACAAGAGTAGACAAAGAATCTCCCTTTTGAAAAAGGGAACAACATTTCCTTCTGTTCCCAGACAATGCACTAATGTTGTGACCCTTTAAAGGACATCAGGGGAAACAATTTTGCTGGGAACTGAGATTTCTGTTTGTGCACGTATACTGAGATATGTACTGGCTATTAAACAAACCATAAAGGTCCTTAAAGGTTTCAGGAAAATTCTATTCCCCACGTGTGAGTCAGGTTGTCAAGCTTTGACAGAATTAAGTCAGAGTTCTTTATTATCTTGTTCAAGGTTGGTATTTATTTCTCGTAGGTGACTTTATCACATTTCCCTTGAAGTAAGGAGCTTTCTAAAGAACCGGACTATGCCTGTGGTTACTTAGGGATAAAAATAAAGCTGTCTATCCCAAAGGATTAACATGGAGGACATAAGCAGGAATTAGTGGAAACATGAGTCAGAAAGCACTGGAGAATTCAATTTCTACATATCTATGAGCTGTCCAAATACATGACTTCCTGATCTGTCAGAAAAATGCCAACGTTCGGTTTTCCTT